GTAAGCTATAGGCCCAATACATTACCACCGCATATTGGCTTTGCTTATATTGCCCTGCTAATGCATTGTTGTTCGAGTAATTGTTTAAAATTATAGGTAGGCTATATGATCACACCGGTAATAGATCCGTTGTTGCATTACTTGTGAGAAACAGCTGAGTGAGCATAAATAATTTTTATTTTACTGGGCTGATGGTCAGTCTCAGCGGCGGAGAGTAGCAGACTGAGTGTCCACCTCTCAACCTCCCTCCGCTCTACATTTCCTCAACTGACACTGACCAAAAAGGGACACTGTCTTCCAGCTAATGGCGAAACTCGAGTTGTACCGCATTATTTCTGCCTCATGCACAAATTCATGTTTTTACCAGGGGAGAAAGTAAGCAGGTGCGGTCCGGTATGGAGTACCGGTAAAATAAATAGTGAAGGAAATAGGGAATTTGGCTGCGCAACATGCCTTGAGCTTGAATGCTCCAAACTCTTTGCTGCCAGGGGTGTCAGCATTGCAGTGCAGTGGGCTGACTGCAAAATAGCACCCTATGGGAAAACAAAAAAGACCCAACTTGCGTCCTTAAGAAAAAAAATCTATGAGTACAAAAACAGCACACCAGGAGGCCACTAGGGTTTCAGATCAAATCAAATGATATTTTATTGGTCACATGCACATATTTAGCAGATGTTACTGCGGGTGTAGTGAAATGCTTGTGTTCCTAGCTCCAACAATGCAGTAATATCTAACAATTCACAACAATACATACACATCTAAAATTAAAACAATGGAATTAAGAAATGTATAAATATTCGGACGAGCAATGTCGGAGTCCGGAGTATATATATATATATACATACATACATATATATACACAACCAGTCAAAAGTTTGGACACACTTACTCATTCAAGGGTTTTTCTTTATTTTTACTATTTTCTACATTGAAGAATAATAGTGAAGACATCAAAACTATGAAATAACACATATGGAATCATGTAGTAACCAAAAAAGTGTAAAAAAAAATCAAAACATATGTTATATTTTAGATTCTTCAAAGTAGCCACCCTTTGCCTTGATGACAGCATTCTCTCAACCAGCTTCATGAGGAATGCTTTTCCAACAGTCTTGAAGGAGTTCCCACATATGCTGAGCACTTGTTGGCTGCTTTCCCTTCACTCTGCGGTCCAACTCATCCCAAACCATCTCAATTGGGTTGAGGTCGGGTGATTGTGGAGGCCAGGTCATCTGATACAACACTCCATCACTATCCTTCTTGGTCAAATAGCTCTTACACAGCTTGGAGGTGTGTTTTGGGTCATTGTCCTGTTGAAAAGCAAATGATAGTCCCACTAAGCACAAATCAGACGGGATGGCGTATCGCTGCAGAATTATGTGGTAGCCATGCTGGTTAAGTGTGCCTTGAATTCTAAATAAATCACTGACAGTGTCACCAGCAAAGCACCCCCACACCATCACACCTTCTACTCCATGCTTCACGGTGGGAACCACACATGCAGAGATCATCCGTTCACCTTCTGACCTTCATGTCTTAAAGTAGTGATGGACTGTCGTTTCTCTTTGCTTATTTGAGCTGTTCTTGCCATAATATGGACTTGGTACTTTACCAAATAGGGCTATCTTCTGTATACCACCCCTACCTTGTCACAACACAACTGATTGGCTCAAATGCATTACGAAGGAAAGAAATTCCACAAATTAACTTTTAACAAGGCACACTTGTTAATTGAAATGCATTCCAGGTGACTACCTCATGAAGCTGGTTGAGAGAATGCCAAGAGTGTGAAAAGCTGTCATCAAGGCAAAGGGTGGCTACTTTGAAGAATCTCAAATATAAAATATATTTTGATTTGTTTAACACTTTTTTGGTTAATACATGATTCCATATGTGTTATTTCATAGTTTTGATGTCTACACCATTAGTCTACAATGTAGAACATATATTTAAAAAAAAGCTGGAATGATTAGGTGTGTCCAAACTTTTGACTGGTACTGTATGTGTGTGTATGTAAGTGTGATGTGATGTATAGACATTATGGACAGTATGTGGATATAATATTTATTATATCAAATCAAATCAAATTTTCTTGGTCACATACACATGTTTTAGCAGATGTTATTGAGGGTGTAGCGAAATGCTTGTGTTTCTAGCTCCAAAAGTGCAGTAATATCTAACAAGTAATATCTAACAGTTTCACAACAATACACACAATACACACAAATCTAAAGTAAAGGAATGGAATTAAGAATATACATTTTTGGACGAGCAATGTCGGAGCGGCATAGACTAAGATACAGTATAATAGAATAGAATACAGTATATACATATAAGTTAAGTAATTCAAAATATGTAAACATTATTAAAGTAACTAGTGTTCCATTATTAACGTGGCCAGTGATTTCAAGTCTATGTTTATAGGGCAGCAGCCTCTAAGGTGCTAGTGATTGCTATATCCTTTATATCATTGATCTTGGCTTAATAATAGTTTATTTTTATTTTTGTTGTTAAGTCACATAATTTCTCAATTTGTAGTAAGTCAGCCAGTCAGACTTATTAGCGACTCTTTTGCCCCATCTCCTTCAATCATACAGTTTTCCAATTCCTCATCAATCCATGGCGCCTTAACAGTTCTAACAGTCAGTTTCTTAACAGGTGCAGCAACACAAAATCTCTTCAGGTGATCCCCTGGTGAAGCCTTCCACACACTGTTCCATTTCAGTCTCATCTCTGGGTAACAGTCATAATCTTGTGCTGGAGACAAATATGAGAATGAAATGAAATGAAATTAGTCTGATGACAGTCGTCTTTATGCTAGAACATGCACTGTGTCACTGGCTCCCCAGCTCATATAAAACAATCCAAACGCAATGACAGAAAGCATTGGACTCAGTTTTACATTACCATCAGCTATATAATATAGACTTCTTGTGGTTTTAACTGAGACATTAATGTGTGTGGACATGTAAACTCATTGGTAATTGCTCCTGTAATCACTATTGTTTCCATGTTTTGATTAGGCAACACTTAACAATGACTTTAATGATATGTATTTATTTGTAATTTCTTAATTTTAGTGTCCTATTTGGCATCAAATATTTTAAATGTCCCTGTTCTCATGATTTGCTACTGGAGGACCCCAGCAAGCTCCAGGGCGTACTTAGAGAGACTGTAATGGTGGAGTTACACATTTTGTTTTTTTGTGGAAGTTATTTTGTATTTTGTATATGTTTTTTATTTTATCAGATCTGTTTTTCTCACAGTGTGCTGATCTGTATGGTATAAATGAAACCCCAAGTTTATTGGTAAAATGTAGTACCCTTAGAAGATATTTTTGTCAATTGGTACGCAGGGAGAGGTTTTGGTACAGGTACGCAAATGAGCACTTTGTGTATTTAGTGTGGGTTGCTGGCTAATTTAGATCTTCCTTTCCTTCGTTAAAATGAAATGTACAGTAAAAGTACCCTGGGGGGGATAAATAAAGTTGCATGGAATTGAATGGCCCCAATCAAACTGACCCGAGATTATGATGAACATCACAAGACTAGCAGACCCCTTCACTCCCCCTCATCCTTCCAACTACACAGACTTATACTAGCACTCTTCACTGCGCTTCAAGTCTCCATTTGTTTATGCAAATGCAATGTGTGGTTTCCTGTCCTTTGTACTGTATGTGTATGTCGTCTCACAGAAATAGACTTGAGAGGTTTAGAGAGCCCACCATGACAAGAAAAGAACGGAAAAGAAGAGAAGGGGGAAAAAAGAAACAGGCACGCATGAGAACAAGAGCAAATAAAAAAGTAAGCACGACAAGTGATCAAGATAGTTATTACCATTTAAAATATTTTTTTTTCACTGATGCTCAAACCCAACCATCTTTCCTACATACATATTGATGAATGAAATTGGAAATAACACAATGTCAATAATAACATATTTTGTTCTTACATTTGGAGTAAACTATTATCCATAGAATACAAACTCTGTACTCTTTTGAGCCACATAACACCTTATTGTATGCTAAATAATTCCGCAATATGTTTGGGTTTGATATAAATCTGTATTGTAGATGGTCTCTCCATGATGATTGACAGGTCATGTTCTGCCTTGATGAACCTGTAACACACAGAATGTATATTCAATAAACATGAGATTTCATCCCCAAAATGTCCCTTATGACATAGGTACATCACTCTAAGGAATCATAACATGCAGCAATCACCCCATAATTGGTAACACAATATGTTATGATTGGCTACAAAGTATACAGTAAATGTAAATATTTTGTTATTAATCTTACCTTAAGTAACTCCAGTATTTGGAGAAGGGACCACCATATCATTCCAGTGTTTTATGTCCAGTTAAGGTACCACCATTGTTGGCTTTTCTTTGATCAACTATGGGAACTCCTGTTAGGGTTAGAGATCAAATTATTGATTCATTGGTTGGTTTGTTGATTGATTCATTGATTGACTGATATTCATGCTACATGGTTGTTTCACCTTAATTTAATGTAGTTGTAAGGACAGATGCTAGGAGATGAGAAGCAGGTACAGGGAGTGAAAATGTAATATAAACAGACATGAAACAAAACACGGACAGCGTCTGGACAGGGGAAACATAACGACATTAGTGCAGACACTGGGAACAAACAGATATAGGGGAGGTAACCAAGCAGTGATGAAGTTCAGGTGAGTCCAATGAAGCGCTGAAGCGCGTAACGATGGTGACAGGTGTGCGTAATGATGGGCAGTCTGATGCCCTCGAGCGACAGAGAGGGGGAGGGGGAGCGGGAGCAGGCATGAAAGTAGTTGTTGTAAGTCACTGTGGGTAAAAGGAACTGCTCAAATCTTAAACAGAGAAATGTAATGGACAAATACCTTTGACTGTGATATTAACAATGTGTCCCATGGCTTTCTCCTTGCTCTTCTCACATGCTGTTTGGCACTGATAGGCTACGTTTACACAGGCAGCCCAATTCTGATATTTTTGACCAATCAGTTCAGCTCTTTTGCAATTGGGCGAGACATCAGAACTGGGCAACCTGTGTAAACGCAGCCATAGAGTCCTTGGTCAATTTGTGTCATCTGTTTGATCTCTGTGACAACATCTTTGCGTCTGATGTTACTGTCCTCCATGATTGTCTCATTGACAACAGTGAGGTAGTTACCTTTCGGGATCAGTAAGTTTGGGACATTCTTCATCTGAACGATCAATGGGATCACATATTTTGGGGATAATACTCTATATGGAAAGCCCTTCGTCCCAACAATAGAGGTCTCACCTACAGTATGGCATCTGAAAAAGAGTGAGATACAATCTATAAAACTGTCCAATAGCCTCCTGATTACTACTTGGTTTTCACAGAGCAACACATGGGTTGTGTCCTTGTACATAGAGTACAGACTGTATGATAAACATTCTACAAAATGTAACGAAACTGTAGCTACCATATACTGTCAGGTCCATAATTATTGGCACCCTTGATAAAGATTAGCAAAAAATACTGTATAAAATAAATCATACAAATACTGAGCTATATTGCATGGTAAAAATTATTTATACTAATACACTTGATCAGATAAAAATATTAAGTAATAAAAAATAATAATAATAAGATAGCGGTCAAAGTTATTTCCACCCGTGTTTTCAGTACACTTGCGAGGATAACAACACTGAGGCTTTTCTAAAATGTTTTATGAGATTGGAGAACACATTGGGAGGTATCTTAGACCAGTCCTCCATACAGAATCTTTCCAGATCATTGATATCCTTTGTCTGTAAAGATAATTAATATCCTTTGTAAGTGGAGCTATAAAACTCCATATGCAATTAATCAAAGACAATAGATTGCAAGAGATCAAATAGCAAGAGTAGGAAACAAGATTTTATGTTGACTCTAAATATGTTTTAGAAGTTTACAATAATGCCTAACCAAGGTCCTCTACAGTTAAACAATACATGCTGGTGGAAGTGATTTTTTCTCTTTCAGCATCACACACAGGCCTTTTTCTCATTTGGGCAAAAGTCCGTCCTCCACCCTCTTTCCTCCGTCCTCTCTCCTCCGTGACCCGGAAACCGATAATTCGACATTGGAACACTGCACTGTACGGCCCTCTGGTGGTGGGGTGCACACAGGACAGCATTTTCCTGCAGGTCACAGGGGTGACATTCAGTAACATAAGGTGTCCAAATGGACGCCTAGGCCTAGACCCTACACCCTATAGACTTGTGGAGATCTGAGAGGATTTTGCAATCAATATGGTAACAGCTCCACCTTGCACTCGAATAGGTTAGGTGGAAGTTTCATCCTATAGCAATCAAATCATCTAAGATCTCCACAATCTAGGAATCCATATGGGATTGGGCCAAAGTCTCCAAAACAATGATATCACAACAAAAAATAAAAGGAAATGTAAAACATGAATATTGTGGATATTAGGGAGTGTGAGTGAGATTGAAAAAGTACATTGTCCTTTTATGAATAGGTTATTTGTAATACAGGAAGGTTGGTAATACAGGTAGGTAATTTAGTAAAAAGTGAGTGGAAGTGTAATAATGTCCCAAGGCATACTCTCATCCTCTTCACCATGCTCTACCACTGGTTCGTTTTCTCCTGCTACGTAGAGAGTTCAGAGTTTGAAGATCAATCAACTCATCATCTAGATTGATCATGCGGTGCTGTACCCATAGCAGACCCACAAATGACATTTGATTGTGATACTACTATAGTGTCCCCCATAGCAGAATCGCCGCTCTCACAATGTGCTTGACACTGATAGAGTCGTTGGTAATTTTCATTCAGCTGTTTGATCTCTGTGACGACCTCTTTACGTTTGATGTTGGGGTGCTCCATAACTGCCTCTTTGACAACAGTGGGGTACTTAGCGAGAGCAGTAAGCTTAGGATTTTTCAACTGAAGAGCGATGGCACCAGGAAGCTTCAATATGACCACATTTTCTCGGATCATACTCTATGTTACAAGTGAGATTCAGTGGCGTGCCCTCTCTCCCAATGATAGGGACCCTTGGGCACCTCACCTCCAAAGCATCTGGAAGAAACACAATGCTGACTGATGATTTTCATTTTTATAAATACTATTTTAAATTAGTAAAACAACAATAAAAAAGCATAGATGTGTAACAATGTTTGCGTTCCCTCACAAGAAGGAACTGTTAGAGAAAAGCCATTATGCTGTTGCTTTCATCAGAAATTAATGTAAGATCAATACACAATGAACACATGAGCACCAAATACACATTCCATGATAGAAAAATAAAAGTAGTTTGTCTAATATCAGCATGATGACACCAACCAAGAGTTAACCAATATTAGCATAAAACATGAACAATTATCAAAGCCCCTGGCCACTCGCTATCGTGTGATAAGAACTTGTTCCAAGACTTGTGTCTTAAGCCTGGCAAGCGAGGCTAATAAAAACGTTCTTCACTTGTTCTGTGGCAACAACTGTGTCACGACTTCCTCCGAAGCTGCCTCCTCTTCTGGTTAGGGCAGGCTTCGGCGTTCGTCGTCACCGGCCTTCTAGCCACTGCCGCTCCTCATCTCATCATTCCATTTGTTTTGTCTTGTTTATTACACACACCTGGTTCATATCCCCTCATCAGTACCTGTATAAGTGTTCCCTATGCCCACTTGTCTTTGTGTGATTGTTTATTGTGAGGAGAGTGAAGCTCGGTTGAGCTCCTTGTATTTTGTATTGCCGGGTTATTTTCCCCGTGTGCCTTGTTGGTTCCAGTGCGCCTGTTTTGCGCACTGGACTGTTTTGACGCATTACTGAGTAACTCTGTATTCCGGAATAAATCATGTTATTCTGTGATTTACCCTCCTGCGCCTGACTCCTTCAAATCACCCATCACAGAATCACACACCAAAATATGGAGTCAGCAGGAGAGGAGCACATGCCTGGAGTCGTGGAACGGGTCCGGGAGCAATCGACAATGCTAGCCAGCTTGGGAGAAGCGATGACCCGATCTGTCGGGACCAGTTTGGCGACCGGATCCAGCCACCCACACCCCAGCACCCAGAGGGATCCATATATCCCGACCACGGGATTTTGACGGGACAGCTGCTCTCTGCCAGGGATTCCTCCTCTAATTGGAGCTATACTATTCAAGCATCAGCCCGGCCCCATCGGAGTGGGAGAAGGTGTCTGCCCTCGTCTCCTGCCTCTCAGGGAAAGCCCTGGAGTTGGCCAATGTGGTCTGGAATGAAGGAGGAGCCGCATTGGACAACTACGGGGAGTTCGCTCGCCTCTTTCGGGCTGTCTTCGATCACCCGCCCGAGGGTAGAGAGGCGGGCAAGCGGCTTGTCCACGTGAGGCAGGGGACGAGGACAGTGCAGGACTTCGCCCTGGAGTTCCGGACTCTAGCAGCAGATGGCACGAGAGGACATTTCAATGCACGATGTCGTCAGCGTTCTTATGGGTCTGGAGGCGGCAGGCAGGGCACTCTCGCATCACCCCAGGTATCGAAAAACCATACTCGTTCAGAGCCCTCTGCTGTGCACTGTACCTTACCCATCCACTTTCCTGATTACATTGTAGTTCCCCAGTGTAAGGCTCTGGTCGATTCAGGCGCAGCTGGGAACTTTATGGACAGGTAATTTTCACATAGTCTAGGCATTACATTGGTTCCCCTATCCATTACCACTGCCCATCAGTGCACTTGACAGTCGACCATTAGGGTCCGGATTCGTTAGGGAGGTTACAGCACCAGTCACTATGGTTACACACGAGACTTATTGAGTCTCCTGATTTCCCTGTTGTGTTCGGTCTTCCCTGGTTAGCACTCACCTTTTCATGGCCACATGAGGGTTCTCACGGGGTGGTTGCAAGAGTGTCAGGGTAGGTGTCTAGGTGTTTCCGTTGGTGAAACCATGGTGGAAAGTCCAGACAGTACCTCCACCATGTGCATTCCCCCCGAATACCTCGATTTTGCACACGCATTTTCCAAAATGCAGGTGGCCAAATTACCACTTCATCGGGCGGGAGATTGCGCGATAAACCTCCGGGTAGACGCTGTGCCTCCCAGGAGTCATGTTTATCCCCTGTCACGGGCTGAAATGGAAGCTATGGAGACATACGTCTCCGAGTCCCTGCGCCAGGGGTTCATACGTCCCTCCACTTCACCCACCTCCTCAAGTTTATTTTTTGTGAAGAAGAAAGACGGAGGTCTACGCCCTTGCATTGATTACCGATCACTGAACAAGGGGAAGAGACTATTTAGTTATCCTCTATCCCTCATTCCATATGTGATCGAGTCAATGCATGGGGCGCACTTCTTCACAAAATTAGATCTCCGGAGTGCATACAAGCTGGTGCGTGTCCGAGAGGGGGACGAGTGGAAGACAGCATTAAGCACAACCACAGGCATTACGAATACCTGGTGATGCCATACGGTTTGATGAATGCTCCATCCGTCTTCCAGTCCTTTGTGAACGAGGTGTTTTGGGACATGCTTGGTCGCGGTGTAGTGGTCTACATCGATGACATTCTGGTTTATTCCGCTACGCATGCCGAGCATGTGTCCCTGGTTCGCAGAGTGCTTGGGCGACTGTTGGAGCATGACCTGTATGCCAAGGCAGAAAAATGTCTGTTCTTCTAACAATCCGTCTCCTTCCTTGGATACCACATCACCACCTCAGGTGTGGAGATGGAGGGAGACCGCATTTCAGCCATGCGTAATTGGCCGACTCCAACCACGGTTAAGGAGCTGCAGCGCTTCATTGGCTTTGCCAATTACTATCGGAGGTTTATCCGGGGCTTTGGGAAGGTCGCAGCCCCCATCCCCTCTCTGTTGAAGGGTGGGCCGTCCCGGCTCTGCTGGTCTGCTGAGGCTGACAGGGCCTTCAGTAACCTGAGGGGTCTGTTCACCTCAGCCCCGGTACTGGCCCACCCGAATCCATCACCACCATTCGTAGTGGAGGTGGATGCATCTGAGGTAGGGATAGGCGTGGTCCTATCTCAACGCTCGGGCACGCCACCTAAGCTCTGCCCCTGTGCCTTCTTCTCCAAGAAGCTCAGCCCGGCGGACAGAACTACGACGTTGGTGATCGGGTGCTGTTGGCTGTTGTCAGAGCCCTGACCGTGTGGAGGCACTGGCTCGAGGGGGAGAAACAACCTATCCTCGTCTGGACGGACCACCGTAACATGGAGTACATCCGGGCAGCGAGGAGGCTGAACACTCTCCAGGCCAGGTGGGCCCTATTCTTTACCTGGTTTGATTTTACACTATCATACATTACGGGTATGAAGAACGTGAAGGCAGACGCACTGTCACGGCTGTACGACACAGAGGAGAGGCCCAGATACAGTGGGGGAAAAAAGTATTTAGTCAGCCACCAATTGTGCAAGTTCTCCCACTTAAAAAGATGAGAGAGGCCCGTAATGTTCATCATAGGTACACGTCAACTATGACAGACAAATTGAGGAAAAAATTTCCAGAAAATCACATTGTAGGATTTTTTATTGAATTTATTTGCAAATTATGGTGGAAAATAAGTATTTGGTCACCTACAAACAAGCAAGATTTCTGGCTCTCACAGACCTGTAACTTCTTCTTTAAGAGGCTCCTCTGACCTCCACTCGTTACCTGTATTAATGGCACCTGTTTGAACTTGTTATCAGTATAAAAGACACCTGTCCACAACCTCAAACAGTCACACTCCAAACTCCACTATGGCCAAGACCAAATAGCTGTCAAAGGACACCAGAAACAAAATTGTAGACCTGCACCAGGCTGGGAAGACTGAATCTGCAATAGGTAAGCAGCTTGATTTGAAGAAATCAACTGTGGGAGCAATTATTAGGAAATGGAAGACATACAAGACCACTGATAATCTCCCTCGATCTGGGGCTCCACGCAAGATCTCACCCCGTGGGGTCAAAATGATCACAAGAACGGTGAGCAAAAATCCCAGAACCACACAGGGGGACCTAGTGAATGACCTGCAGAGAGCTGGGACCAAAGTAACAAAGCCTACCATCAGTAACACACTACGCTGCCAGGGACTCAAATCCTGCAGTGCAAGACGTGTCCCCCTGCTTAAGCCTGTACATGTCCAGGCCCATCTGAAGTTTGCTAGAGTGCATTTGGATGATCCAGAAGAGGATTGGGAGAATGTCATATGGTCAGATGAAACCAAAATATAACTTTTTGGTAAAAACTCAACTCGTCGTGTTTGGAGGACAAAGAATGCTGAGTTGCATCCAAAGAACACCATACCTACTGTGAAGCATGGGGGTGGAAATATCATGCTTTGGGGCTGTTTTTCTGCAAAGGGACCAAGACGACTGATCCGTGTAAAGGAAAGAATGAATGGGGCCATGTATCGTGAGATTTTGAGTGAAAACCTCCTTCCATCAGCAAGGGCATTGAAGATAAAACGTGGCTGGGTCTTTCAGCATGACAATGATCCCAAACACAACGCCCGGGCAAGGAAGGAGTGGCTTCGTAAGTAGCATTTCAAGGTCCTGGAGTGGCCTAGCCAGTCTCCAGATCTCAACCCCATAGAAAATCTTTGGAGGGAGTTGAAAGTCTGTGTTGCCCAGCGACAGCCCCAAAACATCACTGCTCTAGAGGAGATCTGCATGGAGGAATGGGCCAAATTACCAGCAACAGTGTGTGAAAACCTTGTGAAGACTTACAGAAAACGTTTGACCTGTGTCATTGCCAACAAAGGGTATATAACAAAGTATTGAGAAACTTTTGTTATTGACCAAATACTTATTTTCCACCATAATTTGCAAATAAATTCATTAAAAATCCTACAATGTGATTTTCTGGAATTTTTTAAATCATTTTGTCTGTCATAGTTGACGTCTATCTATGATGAAAATTACAGGCCTCTCTCATCTTTTTAAGTGGGAGAACTTGCACAATTGATGGCTGACTAAATAGTTTTTTCCCCCACTGTATATAGCTATATGGTTTTCCCCGTGTGCCTTGTTGGTTCCAGTGATCCTGTTTTGCGCACTGGACTGTTTTGACACATTACTGAGTAACTCTGTATTCCGGAATAAATCCTGTTATTCACCCATCACAAACTGGTGCATGATCGTCTCCTCTTTAAGTCTACCTTTAAAGTTTACCCTAAGGCGGAAGTGGTCATTTCTACTAATTTAGACGTGTAGATGTGGTTTTACTGAGACGTTAATACATGTAAACATATAAAACGCTTTGATAATTGCTGTTGTAATCATCAAAATAATGTTTGATTATTTTATAAGATTGCAGATATAGTGCACAAATGTTTATGTAGTTTGTCAGTTTATAATGGTCATCCATATACTGTATGACACACCATGCTTTTCTTATCTGGTGTTTTTTTGGAGTACATATAACTCTGGGGAACACCTGTATACAACCAAAATGTATTTGGAGAAGTTCTGACCTAGTGGTCTAGCAAATAATTCATACGGAATATCGCTCAGTTTCACAATTCATAACAACTTCCTTCAAAAATTGTTAACCTACAGTATATAGTATTACATTGCACTCCTGAGCCTTCAAATCAAACTGAGATTATGTTGAACATCAGAAGACAAGCAGATCCCTTTACTCCCCCTCACCCTTCCAATCACATAGACTGCTACTAGTGCTGTTCACATAGCGTCAAGCCTCTGTTTGTTTGTGCAAATGCTATGTGTGGTTTCCTGTCCCATATGGGCATTTCCTCTAACAGACATAGACCTGAAAGGTGTAGAGAGATAGCCCACCATGACAAGAACAGGGGAGAGAACTAAAAAAAAAAGAAATAGGCACGCATAACAACAAGAACAAAGAAGTATTAGTCACTCCTGAGCCTTCAAATCAAACTGAGAGTATGATGAACATCACAAGACAAGCAGACCCCTTTACTCTCCCTCACACTTCCAACCACATAGACTGCTACTAGCGCTATTCACATAGCTTCAGGCCTCCATTTGTGCAAATGCTATGTGTGGTTTCCTGTCCTGTATGGGCATTTCCTCTAACAGACACAGACCTCAGAGGTGTAGAGAGATAGCCCACCATGACAAGAACAGGGGAGAGAACAAACAAAAAAAAGAAATAGGCACGCATGACAACAAGAACAAAATAGAAATCAAGCAAAAAAATTAGCATTCTATTGACATTTCATGAAATTGTATTTTTATTTAGGTAGTACAAACCCTCCTGTCTTCCAACATACTGTACATTCATGCTTGAAGCTGGTTTATAACACAATGTTTTTATTTTTCGTAATGTTAAGAAAACTACTAACCATAGAATACAAATTATGTAGTCTTTTGAGCCTGTAGCACCTTATTTATACATATGTAAAACGATTCAGTTAAATGTTTGGGTTTGATATAAATCTGTATTGTAGATCGTATCTTCATTATAATTGGTAGGTCATGTTCAGCCTTGACGTCATCTGCCATCAGCTAACAGACCAGCTCAATGATTAACCTGTTAAACACACATAATCATCAATAAACAAGAGACTTCACCCCAAAAGGTCCCTTTTGACATATTTACACCCCATAATTGGTAAAACATTATGTTATGATAGGCTGCGAAGTACGAATGTAAAAGTGCATTTTTTTATGTATTATTTTGTTATTGATCTTGCCTCACGTAACTCCAGTATTAGGAGAAGGGACCACAGTATCATTACAGTGTTGTATGTCCAGTTCTGTCCACCACTGTTGGCCTTTCTTTGATCAACTCCGGGAGCTGCTGTTATATGGTTAGATATCAACATTAGTGATTAATTGGTTGGTTTGTTGATTGTTTAATTGATTGACTGATGATCATGCTACATGGTTGTTTCACCTTAGTTGAATGTTGTTATTATAAGTCGCTGTGGGTTAGAGTAACTGCTAAAATTGTAAAACCAAAAAAGTTAATGGACGAATACCTTTGACCGTGATATTTATGTAGTGTCCCATGGCAGTATGGCCTCCCATTTCACATACTGCATGGCACTGATAGACTCCTTGGTCAGCAGGGGTCAGCTGTATGAAGTCTGTTATAACGTGTCTATGTCTGACACTCCGGTCCTCCATAAACATCTCGTTGACAATGGTGAGGTACTTGCTGGGGTCAATGAGCTTGGGACACTCTTCCAAAGAGTGACGACACCAAAAGGCATCAATGCGACCACATTGTTTAGTTTCATACTCTGCCTTACAGGTGAGCCTCAAGGGCATGCCCTCAGTCCCAAACATAGGAGTCCTGGGGTACTTCAACTCAACAGCATCTAGAGTAGCTAAAGAGTGGGAGTTGTGGAAAAAAAAGTAAATCACTCAGGTCCAAAACAGCTCTACATATAACTTATTTCTTTTTGTTAACAAACTAGTTTATTAGGGGTTATTTCTGAGTATATCTGGGTATTAAAAGCATTCAACACCATCTAATCTAAACGCAACTACCATACCTAGGGTTTCACCCTGTCCCACTTTTATTACACACTAGTATCACCATGAGTACTCACCTGTGCCCAGAGAAGGTGACACACAGAGACAGAGAGACACTGTCGAAAGCAGGGACAGCAGTCTAGATCCACGGAGCCAAACCATTTCCAAACACTAGCACTCAAAACTGAAAGTTGCTTAATCTGATATACTCCACGTGTTATAGATGGCCAACAGATGAAAGCATCATCATAGACACACAATAACTAAGCTCTCATCTGCAGTCTGCTAGATCTGCCCACCACAGAGGCTATAGAGCAAGCTAGAGCGTGTGTGTTCTTTGTGTGTGTACGCGTAGAGTAGATATATGTTTCAGTGGAGATAAAGAGGCTGTGTCTGACCACCAGAAGACAAAAGAAGAGCAGTGTATGGGGCTCGTCTAGTGCACATTTCCTTGTTTGAGGAAACCAGGGTATATTTTCTCATATCCAGCAAATGTGCTGAGTTTACAGTGTTGAGTAATCTTCCAAAACTGATTGCGCAAAAACTTCTGTTATATGCTAACGCTAACATTTCAGTATACAGTGAGGGAAAAAAGTATTTGATAACCTTCTGATTTTGTACGTTTGCCCACTGACAAAGACATGATCAGTCTATAATTTTAATGGTAGGTTTATTTGAACAGTGAGAGACAGAATAACAACAAAAAAATCCAGAAAAACCCATGTCAAAAATGTTATAAATTGATTTGCATTTGAATGAGGGAAATAAGTATTTGACCCCTCTGCAAAACATGACTTAGTACTTGGTGGCAAAACCCTTGTTGGAAATCACAGAGGTCAGACGTTTCTTGTAGTTGGCCACCAGGTTTGCACACATCTCAGGAGGGGTTTTGTCCCACTCCTCTTTGCAGATCTTCTCCAAGTCATTAAGGTTTCGAGGCTGACGTTTGGCAACTCAAACCTTCAGCTCCCTCCACAGATTTTCTATGGGATTAAGGTCTGGAGACTGGTTAGGCCACTCCATGACCTTAATGTGCTTCTTCTTGAGCCTCTCCTTTGTTGTCTTGACCATGTGTTTTGGGTCATTGTCATGCTGGAATACCCATCCACGACCCATTTTCAATGCCCTGGCTGGGAAGGAAGTTCTCACCCAAGATTTGACGGTACATGGCCCCGTCTATCGTCCCTTTGATGCGGTGAAGTTGTCCTGTCCCCTTAGCAGAAAAACACCCCCAAAGCATAATGTTTCCACCTCCATGTTTGACGGTGGGGATGTTGTTCTTGGGGTCATAGGCAGCATTCCTCCTCCTCCAAACACGGTGAGTTGAGTTGATGCCAAAGAGCTCCATTTTGGTCTCATCTGACCACAACACTTTCACCCAGTTCTCCTCTGAACCATTCTGATGTTCATTGGCAAACTTCAGACGGGCCTGTATATGTGCTTTCTTGAGCAGGGGGACCTTGCGGGCGCTGCAGGATTTCAGTCCTTCACGGCGTAGTGTGTTACCAATTGTTTTCTTGGTGACTATGGTCCCAGCTGCCTTGAGATCATTGACAAGATCCTCCCGTGTAGTTCTGGGCTGATTCCTCAACGTTCTCATGATCATTGCAACTCCACGAGTTGAGATTTTGCATGGAGCCCCAGGCCGAGGGAGATTGACATTTATTTTGTGTTTCTTCCATTTGTGAATAATCGCACCAACTGTTGTCACCTTCTCACCAAGCTGCTTGGCGATGGTCTTGTAGCCCATTCCAGCCTTGGGTAGGTCTACAATCTTGTCCCTGACATCCTTGGAGAGCTCTTTGGTCTTGGCCATAGTGGAGAGTTTGGAATCTGATTGATTGATTGCTTCTGTGGACAGGAGTCTTTTATACAGGTAACAAACTGAGATTAGGAGCACTCCCTTTAAGAGTGTGCTCCTAATCTCAGCTCGTTACCTGAACAAAAGACACCTGGGAGCCAGAAATCTAACATTTTTTACATGGATTTTTTTTGGATTGTTTTGTTGTTATTCTGTCTCTCACTGTTTAAATAAACCTACCATTAAAATTATAGACTGATCATGTCTTTGTCAGTGAGCAAACTTTCAAAATCAGCAGGGATGAAATATTTTTTTCCCTCACATCTTTAACACACTTCTCCAATTCTTGCTTTTTGTGCATGTGACCTGTTGGCCACAAAATGGGGAAGCTAGTATTGTGTGGCCACCTCTGACAGTACTGCTGAACGATTAACCGAAAAGTTGTTGCATGTATTTGAAATACGTATTTCAATTACTTTTGAGTTTTTTGTAATTTGTATTTGAAAGGCCTGAACAAAATCACCCTCTAATTTGTAACAAGATAATGGTATTTCAGAGAATGGTATTTTTTATTTTCAAAATACTAAAAACTCCTTTCATTCACAGTTAATTTTACTGGGTCCTTATAACAATGTAATTACATATGTTATTACACTGTAACAAGTATTACAATTCATTGTAATAATACATAGTTACAATGTAATAAAAACATGTAACTGGTGGTAATTACAGTATGTATTTACAGAGGTGTAAGAATGAATGCTTGTTACCATGCTTGTTGCAAATGTTACGTTTCCGATAGCATCCCAACCATATATCCGAACGCACCATATTTCAGCCTCTACATTTCAGCCTGCATAAACCATGTGATAAGTGTTAGCAATTTTAACACCGACCACCTCATTGACACAATTCTGCAATAAAGGGCTCTGGAGTCTGATGCCCAGGCACAATGGCAAAAACGAGTTCGCAAACGGTTCATGTCCTGACCCCAAGGACGTGTGACACCATTGCATCAGTTGGGGTCTAACAGCTGCTGGTACGTAACTCTCCCCAGCTGGTGTCTTAGGAGGAGCCGGGTCTGAGGTTAGGGCTTCTTGTATGGCAGAGTGAACCTCCCACAGTACCGGCCCCATAATGCAAGAGGAAGGAAGAATGGGTGTAGGGTCTGAGTTACTGGTCGGAATGTCAAACTGGCAGGAGAGAACACCAGCTTTTATGTTTTTCTTTCCAGGGATGCAAGTAACATGAAAATGGAAGCATGTGAAGAAGAGAGCCCAGCGGGCTTGTCTGGAGTTTAACCTCTTGGCCCCTCTGATATATTCCAGATTACGATGATCTGTTAGGACAAGAAAGGGATGTTGTGCGCCCTCCAACCAGTGGCACCACTCCTCGAGGGCCAGCTTGATGGCAAGGAGTCCTCTGTTCCCCACATCGTAATTCCTCTCAGCAGAGGATAACTTCCTGGAGAAGAAGGCACAGGGATGTGATTTGGAGGTGTTCCCACCCGCTGAGAGAGTATGGCTCCTACACCTACTTCGGAGGCATCCACCTCCAGAGTGAAAGGAAGGGTCGGATCAGGTTGGCGAAGGACAGGAGATGAGGTTAAGAGACGTTTCAAGCAGTAAGGGCGATATCATTCCATTGAAGGGTCCGGGTCTTTTGGCTGGTAAGGGCAGTGAGGGGAGTGGCAGTAGAACTGAAGTTCCCAATATTCCGGCGATAGAAGTTGGAGAACCCAACCCAATGAAACGTTGGAGTTCCTTAACGGTGGTGGGTTTGGGCCAGTTACTGACGGCGGTGACTTTGTTCTCATCCATTCTGACCCCTCTAGGTGTCAGTACGAAACCGAGGAAGTTTACCAAGGTTACATGGAAGGTGCTCTTTTCAGTCGTCACATAAAAGTTATGGTCAAGGAGCCGTTAAATAACCTTTTGCACATGCTGTATGTGTTCCTTCAGGGAGTGGGAGTAAATCAGGATGTCATCAATGTAGACAATGAGAAAGCGGTTGATCATATCCTAGCAAACCTCGTTCATAAAGGATTGGAAGATGGTGGGGGCGTTAGTAAGGCCGTAGGGCATGACCAGGTATTCGTAGTGTCCTCGTGCGGTGATAAAGGCTGTCTTCCATTCGTCGCCTTCACTTATACGGACAAGGTTATATGCACTCGGCAGGTCGAGTTTCAAGGGTCGCTGGGATCAGAGGAAGAGGGAAACTGTTCTTGACCGTGACGTCATTCAGGGAACGGTAATCAACACATGGACGGAGACCACCGTCCTTTTTTCCAACGAAGAAGAAGCTGTACACAGCCGGGGAAGAAGAAGGGCGAATGAAACCGTTTTTGAGTGCTTCATCAATGTAGTTCTTCATTACCACATTTTCCGGGATAGATAAGGGGTAAACACGGCCCTTCGGTGGGGACACTCCAGGGAGTAAGTCAATAGCACAGTCCCAAGGGCGATGTGGTGGCAGAGTGGAGGCCTTGATTTTGCTGAAGACATTGCTGTACTGGGTGTATTCCGATGGTATGGTGGGTGGCACTGCAGAGGCAGAGTCCTCAATGGTGGTGGCTCTTCAGTGTAGGCTGAGACAACTGCTGAAGCAGGTAGAAGACCAGGACAGGAGTTCACCTTGTCGCCACGAGATGGCAGGGTTGTGACGACAAAGCCAGGGGTGTCTGAGGATGAGTGGCTGTTTGGGGGATAAGAGTTCCATGAGTTGAATGGTTTCAGTGTGGAAGACTCCAATCTGGAGGGTGATGCTCTGTGTCAGGTGCGTAATGAAGCCCGAGCCCAATGGCTGCCCGTCCAAGGTGTTAATCCTTAAGGGAGGGATGACAGGTGTTAGATCAATGTCAAGCTCTTGTACTAGCTGGTGATCGATAAAATTACCTGCTGTTCCCAAATCTATCAAGCCCTCTACGTACTTAGTAACCCCCTTCACGGTTATCAATACTGGGATGGAGAATTGCTTCTGGGAGATATTTAGCACTAAGGACATGCCTACCTGCATGGCAGCGGAGGGACCCTTCTCGTCTCTCTGTGGGGGGCGAACAGGGAAATGGCTGAGTAGATGATCTTTCCCTCCACAGTATAGGCAGAGCCCTTCTTGGATCCGCCTTTGATGTTCGGGATGACGGAATCATGGAAAGAGAAGGTTTCGGGTTTCTGGGTGGCATAGTTCTTCGGCGGTCGGCGATGAGGTGGTCAATGGAGATGGACATATGAATGTATTGATTTAAATCCTGAAGGTCACCTCTACAGGCCAGCTCCGCCTGAAGTTCCCTGTTGAGCCCTCTTTGGTAGACGGTAAGTAAAGCAGCCTCACTCCATCCACTCCCTGCAGCCATGGTGCAGAA